AATCGATACATAAAGATATCGTTGAATCATTTTTTGACTATTTTGTAATTATTTTAAGAATATTTCAAAACATTTCGAAAGATCTCGTTTTAAAATAACAATTATTATACAGTCGCATACTTGTCGCAATATTTGTTAGTTCTTCTTTGCCGAATATTACACCATTCTTTAACTATTTTCCCCACCTTAATTCTCTCATTGTCTTAAATTGCATTTCTCTCGCATACGCACACCCTGCTCCTTCCACGGCAGCTCGTTGTCTCGTATTTAATCGTGTCACCCCTTTGTGTCGATAATTCGAAACGAAATTATCGCTTCCGCCGTAGGAAATTGACTCGAGCACAATGCTCGATGCTCGCGTCAGCGATGTTTATCGCAAATTACCGTGATAAATATCGGAAAATTGCGTTGGACAGGACCTTGACTTTTTGTCGATTTGCATCGAATAGAATGGGTCTATTAAAAAACGGGCAGAATGATAAAATCAACGATCGATCGAGTTTCTTTAATTCATATCTCTTCTTTTCTTTCTCTTTTTTTTTTTTTTACACCTTTACGAACGCGGTTAGAGAAATGGAACACGAACGTACATCTATTTTTTTTTTTTATTTTTCAAACATCGTAATACTCGTATTTTACTTTGATATTTTGCATATTTTTCCATATTACGTACAGTTCTTGCATATCTGCATATGTAAATTACCTATGAATACATGAACATTCGCAATCTAGTAATAGCAATTTAAATAATCACGTAATTGTTTTTATAAATTACATAATTCATAATGCATTATAATAATATATATTACGTATATTATAATAAAATACGTAATTATTATTTACTACTCGTAATAGATATATCCATATTAAATATGTTGACTTTAATCATTTGCAATAACTGTTAATAATGATAATTCAAATAGTTAAATTATTAATATGATGTCCGAATGATGTCATGATAGATACGAATAATAATTACTTAACATTTATGAACGATGGTTTGCAACGTTGTTTGTTTGAAATAGATGAAAATGATAGCTTAGATAATAACATGATCGATAGAGGTCAGAATTTTGTACTTTATACGAACGAATTATTAGCCGTTTCTTTCCCGTTTCAGGTAAGCGATTAACGTATGCTGTTTCATTGAGTTAAACTAATGATTCACGCAAGTCTCTAGCAATTTTTCCTCCGCTTCCAGTTATTTAAAACTGCTTTGTCATAATGGCAGCTATTGTGGACGTGTTTCTATAGCCATGCAGCAAATAGCTCGTAACTTTCTCAATAACCATTCTAATAACTTTTAATATCGGAAGTTTTTAAATTTCGCGATAAATTTTTTAATTCACTCGGTACTTTTTTTTTTTTTTTAAGAAATTATGTATTATTACAGTTCCTTGTTTCTCGGGCGTAATTTGAAAATTTTCCAAAAGCGCAGAATTAACGCGAGAAAAGCTTGATATTCTGCCGTTAAAATCATTTCAATTCAATTCTCCTTAAGCCTCCCTAAATCGGTTTTCTAGCTTTTGAAATATTTTTCAAACGTTTCTTAGATATTTCTCTTTCTTCACATCCCATGGCACACGTACGTTTCAACTTCTTTTTCTCCTCTCAATTCTGATATTTTTTACAGTCCAATAGTTTTCGTTGCTCCAAATTTTCTCTTCCCTCGAACAGACTACGATGCTCCACTCCTACGATCATCTTGATCGGCAAATTTTCGCGAAAATAATCGGGAAATTCGTGGAATAACGGTGGCCCTTTCCGCAAGGAAAGCGTGATAAATTAACGAGAAGGCCTTAAAACACAGACGACACTCGTGAACGTTAATTATCGAAGGAAAAGGAAGGAGAGAGACGAATGGGCGGGCTGACGAGCTCCATTTTCACGATGTTCGCCGTAGTTAGAGGGTAATTACTGGTGGTACGGTTCGGTGAACGAAAAAATCATCGGGTTCTTTATCCTCACTGGCTCGTTTTCATCGTGGATTGATGCTTTTGAACGGGTTAATCAAACATTCTGCGACCGATAGCCGTGTATCAACTTGACGCCTTAATGCAAGGCACGGCGGTATAACAGTGAGAAATTTTTGATTTCATTTGTCGTTCCGAAGGGATACCACAGACGTTGTAGTTTTTCTTCTCTCAATTTGGTTCAATTAATTTTTATTTTTCCTTCCTTTCCTTGGTTAAATTAATTTTTATTCTCTCTCTATTTTATTTTATGTTAATCTGTGCTATTTGGTTTTAGAGATCTTTGATGTAGTCACAAATTTACCAAGGACAGAACGAGTATATTTTGATTAGCTGTTTTCGAGTAACTCGCTCGATTTTCTTTGAACGAGTGCGATTTTGATAAGGAGAAAAATCCCAACGAACAATTCATTATAGTGTGATCAATCGCGAATAACGTTTGAACATGACGATCTGTCGTTTGATTTAAGCACAGCTTTCCCGTCCCTTTTGACTCAGATTTCCTAAACTTTGGCCACAGGCCAGTCATTTGACACGTGTCCGTTTCGCGGTTAAACTAAATGTTTAATATATATACATTAACATTTAGTTGATTAGTAACGCGATTAACGGTAACATATATATATATAAACATTTAGTTTAACCGCGAAACGGACATGTGTCAAATGACTGGCCTGTGGCCAAAGTTCAGGAAATCTGAGGCGAAAGAGACGGGAAAGCTGTGCTTAAACCAGACGACAGATTGTCATGTTTAAAAAATCACGTTATTGTGAAGTGTACAAAGAAATTAAATGAATCTTCCATGGTAATGGCGGAGTTAAATATTTTTTATTTAGCGACAGCTGTTACAACATTCACATGGGAAATTCGTTTAGTTTCATAACATTGGATTTTAAAGTGTGAACAATCGCGAATAACGTTTGGAAAATGGCAATTATTCGATATCGTCCTAGTTGACGTGAATAGGCCGTGATAGTTGCGACTGTCCAGTGTTGCGGCCGGAGATATAGTTAGTGTTGTTGATGCGCTAACTCTGGAGTTTTCCCGCTGGTGAGGGAGCCGCCCGGTATAGGTTCTGCTGCTGCTGGGTACAGCTGTTACAACATTCACATGGGAAATTTGTTTAGTTTCATAACATTGGATTTTAAAGTGTGAACAATCGCGAATAACGTTTGGAAAATGGCAATTATTCGATATCGTCCTAGTTGACGTGAATAGGCCGTGATAGTTGCGACTGTCCAGTGTTGCGGCCGGAGATATAGTTAGTGTTGTTGATGCGCTAACTCTGGAGTTTTCCCGCTGGTGAGGGAGCCGCCCGGTATAGGTTCTGCTGCTGCTGGGGTACTGGCTGCATTTCTTCTCATTTATGTATCGTAGAAGAAAAGTCGCACGACTACGATGGTCGCCGGGATTCGAACCCGGGTCCCCTAACGTCTGAGACCTTAGGCGCTAACCACTGCGCTATCGTCGTCCGACTAGTAAGTGTCGAGCGATGGTATTTGCTGTCGAGTGCCGCCACATAATAATCATCTGGTGGATGACCTCTCTCATTAAATAAATTTTCCACTTGAAATTTCCCGATGTTATTGACAACGCGTAAAAAAGATTGTCGATGAAACCGCGAGCCTCTGTAAAGAAAATTCACATTTTGCCAGCACAGAATTAATTTACACGTCGAGCAAAAATATTTCAAGTTTGAAAACATCAAATTTCATGCGTTAGTTAAATGTGCGTAGTATAAACTTCACAATTCGATCGTTTTATATATACAGGGCGTACGATCCGACTTTTTTTTCGTAACGAAACAGTGATTGGCATAAAAAAGATCAAAATAACGATGGAAATAATATTCGTGTTGAATAATCGCTATAGAGAAAAAGGACTAATCAATGGCTATTGAAACACGTTTGGATACGTTTCGAAATTCATCAACCAACATCGTGCGCCTGTTTAATCGACTCTTTTCCTTCTGTATGTCCTCTGTATACGGAAGGCGGCAGGAAAATGGCTGGATCGAATTAATTTCACGGTAGAGTGAAAATGGAAACCGGAGGTAGTTCCGTAGGCTCTGCTGTCCCACGACCCAGGATCTGGAGATTTTCTGGGAATTCGAACTTGTCCTGAATCATTGTGTCCTCGAGAAACCCCCGTTGCGTGGAAAACTCGTGGATATCTGGGTCAGAATTTTTACGTTTCATGCTCGTAGTCGTTGAGAAATAGATCGTTCTAATCGAAACTCGTACTAATTGACATGTTTCATGAAATACGAATTATCTGTAAGAAAACGCAAAAATTCGCAACTATTTGATAATCATTTTTATTATTTTTTAATTACATTCCTACTGTGCATATAATTTGTGATTTTTTTTCGTTCGATGAATATTCTTTTTTCCATTGACTTGAAATTTACGTTCGTAGTAGATTAGTAAAAGTAGACAATTTATTTTCCAGGTAGTTTGTCGAAGTTGTCGAAGTAGAAAAGGAGGATCGCGTTATCGTGTATCGTTTCCTATCGATTCGTAGCACGGAGTGGAAGATCGATCGTAAATCCAGTCACGTAGTACGGTATAATGATCGTAGTAGGGGACAATTGCCGGAAGAAGCATGTTTGTATCACTTTGTCCCTTTGTATCGGTGTAATTCTAAAGAGTTAGGTATTATGTCACTTGTAGCCTCTTCCGTCACCATCGTAACGAGGATATCTCGTTGAAAATGGAAAACGTGGGTAAATTTGCACGCCTTTCGAAGCCACGCACGTTTACGTAACTTTTATACTCTCTAAATTTTCAACATTACATTTCGTATTTTCTTCTTCTTTGCTTTTGTAATTTACATTTATCACGATGATTTTTATTATTGGATAAATTATCGTTTCATTTACTGGATCATTCGTTTATTTGATTTTATCTTATGTCCGATAGTTTGTAATAGGTTTAAGTGGAATTTCGTTAGAAGTTCGTCGTAATAAGTTCGTTTTTGAATCTTGTAAGTATGTGATTCTTTTCTCAAACCTTATCAAGTTATAAATTATATATTCAAACGCTTCAGGAATAATAATCTATTATATAATTCATGATATGAATCCGTTGCCATTTCTTTAGAAACGTTTTCACTTTTATTCGTTTTTGCATTTGAGGAGGGATTATCTGCTGCTGCAAATCGACTAGACGAAGCTGTAGGCTCCTTTGTTGCAATTTTCTTTTCGGATCCAGCGATCGTCTGCCCGAGATGGATATCGTTTCCAGACTTTGTCGTTACATTCACTTTCGAATTAGAAAAAATATGATGCCGATTTTTGTTCCTTCTGTGGCGGATCGGTATCAACAGGACGCCGACTGGTCGTGGCATCAACGCGCAATCGGAATTGGAGTGTGCTTGTTTACGTTTATGTACGTTGTCAGCTACTGTCATATCATTAGCTGTTTCTTTATTATTCGATGAACTAGTTCCCGAAGGCGCACTGGCACTCTCACCATCCTTTCCGGATATCGGCTGTTAAAATTATCGCAATAAGTGTAAGAATCTTGCTCGGTAAATATTCCAAAAAAAGATATCGCCTGATGATAAATGATCCGATGATATAATTAACTAAGTCTTACTTGAAGTGCACATAATTTATACGCATACATATCATCATTTATGTTTAGATTTGGAATAGCGGGACATCCATTGCCAATAATATCGTTCAAATGTAATTTAATTGTCTGAAAGGGCTGTTGAAGAGCGTTGTTTATAAATATTCCATACGTGCTCTACAGATAATGTAACATCATTAAATGAAAGTATGATATTATGAAAATATATTATTCTACTGGATTGATTTCATTACGTGGTATGTACCTTTAAATCTGTAACATATAATTCATTTTTGTTATTAAAAAACGTACAGTGGCGATTCGATACTCTCGAACTATGGCATACTATATCATTTTCCTCGGCTCTACCACAAGTATATTGAAAACATACAAAAGACACAATGTTTTATGCACGTGAAACGTCCTTATTATTTGTTTCTCACACTGGAAATACTTTATTTATTCGTAAATACTGAACGTCCATGAACACGTAAATAAAAAAGTGGAACATAAATGAAAGATTCGTTCCAGTTACTAAACACATTGGACATTTAATATAATTGTATTTTGCACACTTGTGTGTCCTTCGATTATTCAAAAATACATAAACATTCGCAGTCTACTCGTCAAATTTTGAAGCGAACATTATTTTACAAGTATGTACTTGCTACTTGTATAGTAGAAGAGGAGGACATTTTATACTTACTGTATGTCCTAATCGATCTAGTAAAATTTTCTTGGAGACATTTATACGACCCAATATAAGTAGATAGTCGGTCTACCTTCCCCCTTTGTTTTTTACTCTTCTGTTAATGATCTTAAATTATAGATGTAATAAGCGCAATAAAACTTAAGTAATGCCTCGTTTAACGAAATTATCTTTCGACAAAAACGTGATTTTAATGTAATGAACGCACAGGCAATGATGGTTACCGCCTTTTCCGGTTGAAAACTGCGTATATAATGAAAACTGTGTATCCACTCAAACGTCGCAATTAGCAATATCTATCGACAATTTCGTTTAGAATAATTTAGATCGAATTATTGTTTCTTAAACTAGCTGCTTTCGTGTTATATACGTAATTATTCTCTTTTTATATATGTAATTGATTCGGTGGCGATGAACACGATGTGTATCCGCATATTATTCCTTTGTTGTAAAACGACGAGTGATACGAAATTTCTACTGAATTTTAATACAATTCGAATTAGGATTCCGATCAGCATATCACCGAATCACTGATATAGCATCAACGATATCACGGATTACGTTACGGTGCAAAGAATAAACTCAAGTCGGGCTTATCTTCCGGTGTTTACGAATGTAGGAGAGTCGTGGAAATCGTAATAGCCGTTTACGTATAGAAGCCATGTAAAACAATGGAATATGCTTATGGAAAGTTGTCCAGCTTCGTATATCGACGTACAGTGACGAGCAAATAATATACTCCGTGAATATACTCGGCTAGTTTTACGCAAAGAGCGATGATACGAGTAATTTTTTAATTGAACGATTAGGATTCGGTAATAATAAGTACGAGGCGAATCTGATTAACAAAACGTGAGAGTTTGGTTTCATTAACCCTTTGCACCCTGAATTTTATTTCAATTTCGTTACCAGCAGCTCCCAACGCTTTCAAGTGTTTTATCTGAAATTTACTTTAACTAAAGAATAAGACAATTTAAAAAAATAAAGGAAGAATGAAATTCACTTAAATAGCAGTTTTATTCATACTACTGTTGCATCTTGCGATTTTTATGTGTATGGTATATCTTGAAACAATTTCCAGGATGCAATTCACAAAAAAATGTGGCACTGAAAGAACGTCGAGTGGTACTCGACGAAGGAGCTCCTGAGATAAAAACTGATGTCGAGTCGTACTCGACATAGGAGTGCAAAGGGTTAATATCATATATTATCATAATATACAGAATATTTTTTAAAAATAGGTATTTGGAACAACGTTTTTAGTTTCGCAGGTTTCGCCAAAATGGATACAACAGCGAATAAATGTTTGAAAATTCAAACTGTCAACGAAAACTGATCGTTGACTATCTCGCAGTCAACTGTTCGACACTCTAGCGTAGTCATTCTTCGGTTTGCGAATTGTTTGACACGCTTAATCTACGATGAAGCCACTTAAGCAATACAATAAGAACAGTTTCTGTTCTCTCGTTAATTTTATCGCACTCGATGAACACGAAATAGTATTTCGACAAGACGGTGACCTAAACATACCGCAAAAGTAGGAAAAACCTAGCTCGAAAGTCAAAAGTTTTGCGTGATGATGTGGCCAGTACAAAAAATATGATATCCGATGGACAGTTTGTGGTTCATAGTGAAAAAAGTCTGGCAAAGTATAAGCTTTAGGGGTTTACGAATTCACCCACTCTCCTCCGTGAACGAGTAAACGAGAGGGGGCTTGTGATGTATGCATTTTAGGGCCCAGGGCCCCTCTTTATGCGTTAGAGATGGCTATCGTGAGGGTTTTAATCGATAAGAATCTGACATTATCTTACGCTCCACTCCCTAGGACGCGTGGTGCCTATGAAGGTTTCTTCGCGTGAAAAAATAAAAAAGAAAAAGGAGGGAGGTTCAGGAGTTGTGAAACAGAACACAAAAAGAACGTTATAATATCTAACGAAACATGATCAAAAATTTAATAGACGGTACGCCACGTAGAGTGGAAGCAATAGGAAAAATGGAGAAAATATTTTGTCCATTGTCTAATTACGAAAGCTTAGTTCAACGAGCATAATTAAAATGCGAAACAGGTAAACATTATTCCAAATCTCTATTTTTCTAAACTATAATGTATATTTTTGATATCAATGAAAGTAGACTGTTACGCCTTGTTCGTCAGATTCAATTTGTAATTGCCATTACCTAATCCTAGCCGATCAATTAAAAAGTTACTCATATCGAGTAATATTCGTAACTAGCAGAGTGTGTTTACGCTTTTATTATCCGCGAAAAGGAACTGGCCAACTTTTACACGCGACATTCTCTTCGATAAACTACCGGAAGCGACTCGAGAATCCTAACGACTGTTACAACGAACGTTTCATGTACACGCACACGTATATGCACACGAAACTTATACGTGTACGCTTAACGTCAACTTAAAAATATCAAAAGGATCTTTGAATTCGTGCAAGTGTGTGCGTGTGTGTGTCAGCGCTCGCGCATGCTTTTCAGATCCTCGCGAAGATTAAACGCGACGATACTTGTTTTTCCTTTTTGCTCTTGCAGCTACGAAAGTGACGCTTCCTCTTGCCTCTCTATTTTCGTCCGCATCTGCAGGAGCTGACGAACTGCAATTTGCATTGTAACGGATGAAAGTTTGCTCGCGCGCGTGCACGCAAGCGGAAGCTGCGCGACGTTGCGGAGGAAATGAAACTCTCGTCGATTGAGAGAGTGTTTTTCACGACCTTACCCCCCGTGTGCGGCTTCTTATTACGTTCTTTTACTGGGTCAGGAATTTCAACGAGTACGCGCGATATTATTTTTCCTTTATTTTCTTCTTTTTTTATTTAGACGTTCTGTATTCTCGTTATTCTTCTAATTTATTTAATTATATAGTTACACGATAGGAACGGACGTTTCACGTGTCTCAGACTCATCAACGTTAACGCGTCTGCCGGTTAATAAATTATCGACGAGCGGAACTTTATATCGTAAACTGCGTCATACAGCGTCGACTTGAAACGCGTGCGACGATAATAACGCGTATCCCTGTCAATTTCTCCATGCAAATACTCTGTTATCCGGACAGAATGTCTGCCAGTAACGTAGTCTACTTCTTATTCTGTTATAGATGCTGCTATTACGCGTATCAGAGCATGAACTGAATAATTAGAGCAAGTGAAAATGTCGTGGAAATTACTCAGGCTGAAAATTCGCATGATCTACCGGGCAAACAAATATATGGCGTTCTTAGATATTCAAATTTAGATTGACAATTTCCTCGATCTTTGTTCCCTCGAACGAACCAAGTTGGACACCGCAGAAATAATTGTTCCACTGTTACGATATTTTTTCTTTCTTTTTTCCCCTCGCTGTTAATATACTGAAATTTCTAAATCCGTACGAAAGTTCGTCCCCTCTGTTATCTCCGAAAGAGGTCAAAGCTGCTGCTAGCTTCCCTCGTGGCCGGTCGTTGTTTCAGCAGAAGTTGTCGCAAAGTTTCCAGGTCTCTATTCTTAGCCGTGGATGATAATTGTCGGTGACGAGCTCGAATAAGCCCTTAACACCATTAAGTTTCTCGGCTTTGTTTCGCGAAAACGCGTGGTCGTACAGCGCTGCGTTCTGAATCGTAGCTGTCGTCTTTCGGTTACGTTAAGGTCCCTCCAAAGCCGCCAGTTCTACCAAGTCTTTCATCGGTTGTTTGTCGAACACCACCTGGTGAAAATGTTGGTTACCGTCGTCCATTCGCAGATTTGTATCGCGAACAAACTACGTAGTCTGTAAGCTTCGAAAGATGAGCACGAAAGTTGTACGAAACTGTTACCAATCCTCGAATTTTCAACTCTGTCTCTTTCGTTCTCGTGTTAATAAAACGAGAGATTTTTAGAGGACTTTAACACAAAACCGTAGGCCATTAACGTTGACTTTATATCGTAAGATCTCGCGCGATAAACGACGAAAGGGAAACCTTGGTACGTTTCTGTAACTTGGAAGCTAAGAAGCATATCGCAGATTTGAGAAATTAGCCTGACGGTGAAATCACGGTATTTATCAAGCCGAGACGATCAATCATTGTCCAATTGTTGCAATACGATGTACGACAGTTTCTGCTTCGTTTTCTCTGTGTTCCTTCGGCGCGGGCAAAAAAAATGGTCGTTTTCCACTTAACAGGCCAGTCTGGTCACGTTCTAAAAAATTAGAAAGTTCAGGATAGACTCATCGAGAACGGATTGACGCAATCGCGCGATGAAATATCGGATGCGAACAGCCGTCTCCTTTGAAGTCGTTGAAAGAAAAAGAAAAAAATAAAAGGCAAGATAGAAGAAAAAAAGACAGAATATCGAATTGCTATGACATTATCGGCGTCTCGTTATAACGTGTTCTTTATCGTTGTTTATGGAAAAGTCCAACCGTCACGTGTCATGTTTGGATTTTAATAATTTCGCGCGATATTTTTGTCGTTTGTGTGCTATAGAGAAACGTCTGCGCCGAACGTAGAGATAAACGTTCGTTTAGCTATCTTGCCGAAAATTAAAATGCAATTCCTCTCATATACGTGCATTGTGCGTGCGTGTATGTATATCTGTCGTTTCCTATCTAAGGCTGACGCGTCGCGAACGACATATGACACGTGATAACGAACGCGTTAATGCGAAAAATGATTCTCTTCAACGCCAGCATCTTAACTTTGAAACGGAACAAAATTTCGGTAAATAAAATAATTGTCAGAATGTTAACCCTCTGTCTTTAAGCTTCGCGTCTTCCGCGTACTCTTTCGCGATCTTAAATCCACGCAATTTTTCTTAGTTTCTCAGGTTTAAAAAAAAATCCACCCAAATTTATGAATACACTTTCTGGCTTCTGCGATATCATCCAATGGTTTCTTCTTTTATCGCCACGAGTTGTCTCGATCTTTTTAAGCGAAGAAGAATTCAAAGGAGAGTATGGAAGAAACGAAAAACTGTCTAAAATTACCGCTGAGAAACGAACCAGTATACCGATGGAATATTAAATTGCAACGTGTTCCGTTAGGTTGAAGAAACTGGCTAGAAGTTTGGCGAGAGTTCACAAGTCTCCGGCTCGCAGCAGAT